TTCAGCTCTGTGTATTTCCTTTTGGTTTTCTGGGTGGATGCAATATAATAATTCTACTTTGTAAAAAACTTGGTAAAATATATATCATATTAATGTATAATAATTCTACTTTATAGAATATAATATAATTCTACTTTGTAGAAAACTTGGTAAAATATATTTGCTGTTTTTACAACATAACCATCATGATTATACACAAACCTTCTATATTTTAAGTATTTGAGAAGATATAACTTATTTAAACTCCAAATGCTTTTGAAAAGTTTCAGAACATTTTTACTCAGATACAAAAATATAAAAATTGATGTATAAATGCCAAAGTAATAAAGGATATGTTAAATAGTAAAAGAAAAATATTGTGTTTCACAATACCTAGGATAAATTATATGTTGGTAGAACTATGTTCTATGATAAGTTATAAACTGTTACTAAACCGTAAATGCCAGAGTTGAAATATAAATTGTTCCTACTACAATTTCAAATTTAGACGACACGCTATTATCTTATACTTAAAAGATCCATTTTTTTTCCCCAATGGTAATGAATGACCAGACACAAGTATTTCATTTATGAAGCATGCAGATTATCATAAATCAGTATATCACAATTCCACTCTTGATTATTTATTCAAGGCAAGCTTTTCTAGGTTATGAGAAGTGCACTTTTAAATTAAGTCAATTACACCATAGCTTCTAGTTAATCTTTGAGACTGGAACAGTATATTTAAAAATTTGTCTCCTTGTTAAATAGGCACCATGACAGTGTTTGCGTAGTGTATTGTTAACCTCCCGTGGAAGGTTAAGCGGCTTCTTCTGTATCTAAATCTGTTGCTGTGAAAAATGACTGTGGCGTTGCACCCACCTACCCGTCAATAGGGAAAGCGAAGACTTGCACCTGTGGGATTAGGCATAGCAGCAGGAAGTAAGAGCGTTTGCAGCATATAATTAACCAGGATTTTTTTTCTTCTTTTTTTTTTTTAAACAGCATGTTCATCTTGCTAGGTTAACTAGTGATTAACGCTTGAAAAAAATTTGCTGGAGTCTGCATCCTTTTCTCAAACTCATTCACTCACTGATGTATTCAATTACTTACACAACCAATACAAGGAGGAACTCAGCTCAAAATACTTCATTTCTTTCTATAATTATTGATTTCTTTATACTCATGGGGGAATTTTTTAGATTTTTTTTGTGCCTTTGCTATAACTTTGGTAGCCAAATTCTGTTATTTTCTGAATCAGATTAAAAGCAATTTAGGAACTTCATTTAAAGATTGCTACCTTAAAAAACACAGGGAAGTTAGTGAATTAAGAAACTCAGACGTTAAATGAGAGTATGAAAAAAATCCTTCACTTATTCTAAATGGTATTTAAGACGTAGTTTGCTTGCTATGTGGTTTTTAATTGTCATTTTCTCCTATTCATTTAAAAAACTAATTTTTAGAAAACTATGATTTAATTACCAATTGAGAAAAGATTTCTAAATATAGCTCTTTAAAACACAATATTCTTCATAAAAACTCATCCCAAAAATCCACAGTTGAAGTTTAAAAGGCTACTCCTTTGGTAAAGTTGGTAGACACCCACTTGAATCAGAATCTGTAGCTGTAGTCTGTCTCTGCAATGAAATCGCATGCATTCTTTTCATTTACATGCCAAAAGAACCACAAAAATTTAACAGTATACTTAGTTTTTTTTTTTTAACTAAACTTCATTTCCTAATAAGATAACATTTAATAATGGAATTCAATGCAGTGACTTTCAAAGTATGTAAATTTTACTGCCATGAAACAAGAGTCTGAGCACAAAGGAGCACTGAACCGGTGATAATGTCTTCTATCCAAACAAATTTGTACTGTATGTAGAAACTGTTTAAAAGGAAAATTACATCTTTTTCAGCAATTTATCAGAGATAATTACACTTCATACACCAAATGAAAGATAAAGTGTTTTAAAGAACTCTAATTCTAATTGGTAAATGTCACCAGCTGTTGCAGTTACTCTTACTTGTGTATATTCTTTTAATGATTATAGTCTCATGCCACAAGCTACATGAAAATATATTCACTAGGTGTGAAATTCCCATATGTCACACTTTCAAGAATAGGTAAACAGCTCAAAGATAAAGGAAGAAATAATGCCAATGAGGAAGGTAAGAATCCTAGGTTTGTTTTCCAGGAAAGTGGATATTACTTTGCCAAAGGGGAGAAAATGCAATTTCAGAAAGAAAAAGAAAGAAACGATTTGTTAAAACAAACTTTTAAATGAGCTTTACCTCATACTTCAACCAGAGATTCTTATTTCCTTAGAAAGTTTGAAACTATCTCAACTTATAGATTTCAGCATTAAATCCTTTGGATCTGCCAATAGGGAACAGCATTTAGTTTTCTTTTAGGCTTAAACTGTAAATTATTTGTTAGTGTGAGATGGTGAAAGATAAATTCTTCCTGGACAGTGTTTCATGATGTCTAATGTTATCTGGTAAGTGACCAAGGAAATAGAAATTACCGTGTTGTCTATGGTGAATGTTTAAAGTCATTATCCAGTCTTCCTGGCCGTAACTAACTTTCCGTTGAGTCTGATGGGTCTACAGATTGACTGGATTAAACTTCTAAGCATAGTTTTTCTTGGAAAGGCGGAAACAAAAATGGGGTTGGGGTGGGGAGAGATGGTAGAGAAGGTAAGCCTCTCATTTGTGTTCTTCAACTCCCAGTTTAACTGAGCTGTGCCCAACTGCCTTGGTGTTATGCATGTTACAGCATCCCATTTCCAGGCACCTATCTGAAACTCAGCTGCTGAGCTAACTTGCTATTATGTGTAGAAAACTGTTCTCATGCCATTTTTCATTCTGTGGCAGTATGTTTTCTGAATGTTCTCACTTTCAGTGTTTTGACAAAGTTTGAGAGGCAAAGAGAAAAATACGTGGCTTATGAGTGAGTTGTCCTCAGGTATTAATAGTAGGAATCTTTGTGCAAAGTACCTTGCCTCTTCACTGGAAAAACTAATGTATAAAACCCCCACCCCAAAAAAGAAAATACTCTAGGTTTGTATTGATTATTCCTTGTAATTGTTGAAACTTTCAAACATTGCTTATGAGAATTATGCAGAAAAATAGTGAAGGAATTAATTTGCTAAGTTACCTCTCTTGGGTTTGAAATGTATTACTTACGTTGTATATCAATGCTCTTGAAGGGGAGACCAGTGAAGACATTTATATAGTTATTTCAAATTATAACTACTTGTGTTATATCAGAGTTATGTTGAAAACATCCTTGAATTTATGTGATCTATATTTTCTCTTAGGTTAAATATAAGAGCCGTAAGAAATTACAGTGATTCTTACTGCACAGAAATAACTTTGTTACCGAAAAAAAAAATATTAAATGTTATAAATGGAATAAATAAGATATACTCATTGCCTATATTATGTATTAGTTAATAAATGGGCAAGTTTAGTGTGATATATAAAATATATCACCCCTCAAAAAACTAGCAAGAACTTTTTTCTATTTTTTTTTTTTTTAGAGGCAGGGTCTTGCTCTGTTGCCCAGGTTGGAGTGCAGTGGCATGATTACATCTCACTACAGCCTCAGGCTCCTGGGCTCAAGCAATCCTCCTGCCTCAGCTTCCCAAGGAGCTGGGACTATAGGCAGACACCACTGGAGTCAGCTAATTTTTCTCAGTTATTTTTTTGTAGAGATAGGGTCTCACTATGTTGCCCATAGGCTGGTCTTGAACTCCTGGCCTCAAGCGATCCACTCACCTCAGCCTCCCAAAGTGCTGGGATTACAGACATGAGCTGCCACACCCAGTTTCTATCTTTTATTTAAGAAGAAGATGCTACCACTGTGCTAGCATCACTCAGATGTACACCTCGAGTTATTTTTCCAGCAGTAGTAATGGTTAAATGATTCATATCCTCTTTTACCTAATTTTCTTACAATATTTACTTTTGCAAATGAGTCTGTTGACAAAGGTTATAAGTACGTTCTGTGGACATGAAATGATGCAAAGCTAACAGACTTATTTGGGCATCAGTTTTACAATTTTATTCTTCTTACTGTCAAACTCTAATCAAATAACTAAGTACAGATTATTAATCAAGCCCAGGTGTAGATGACACAAATGAGCATTTTCATTAACTAGCCCAGCTAGTTAATGAAAGAATAAAACATAAATCAAGAATGAAAATTCTTTAGCAGCCATTCAGGCTTTTGTCCCTCCCGAGTAGTGATTTTGTAGAGTCTACAGCAAGGAAAAGTTATATTATCTACTCTAGCTCCTCTGCCATTAGAAGACACCACATGTTAGAGAGCTTTGGAAGGTTATCTAATTCACATCTTTGGCTCTATATAGGAAGCTGGTTCATTGATATTGCATTTCTAAACTAATTTATTGAGACGATATTGGTAAATATTGAGCAGCAACAATGGATAATCCACAAAATATTTTGTTTTACTTTGTAATGTATTAAATCTCTTTCCCCAATATCTTCCTAATAATATATTACTCAGCTTAATAAGAAAACTTAGTTTGTAATCCTTGAACACCTATAATAGTCAAAGGAGGCACCCCAAGGAAAATTAACATTTTTTAATAGTATATAGATAAACCTGCCAGAAATAATGAAAAGTAAATTGTATTTTGAATTAGGAAATGATAGTTGCATGTGGAAAAGTTTTGGGAAAAATTTATGCACTTATACTGCTTGACATATTGACCTTTTAGGATAGCCATTTTTAAAAATATATATATATACGTCCAGGCTTACAACACTGTATTTTTAATTATTTTAAAATAATGAACAACTATGACCTCAAGTTGTGAGCATCAGTAATAAATTGTTTTATTTACTTTAATTATGGAATTTATTGAAAGTGCTCACTATTGATTGGTCTTGAGCATATTTTACTGATATAAACTTAATTTTCAGGGTACGAATAAGAATTTCATAACTGAAACCTGATGTTGCTTTATTCCTCCTGCTTTTCCCTCACAACAGAAACCAGGAATGGATCTGGCAGACACTTATATTATGTTTGTTCGACAAAACCAGGATATTCTTCGAGAAAAGGTCAATGAGGAAATGTATATAGAAAAGTTGTTTGATGTAAGTAGCTACCCTTGCAAGGCATGCTGGCGTTATAGATACAATGCAAAGAGAAAAGTGGCATTTTGATGGTATGTTTCTAAAACACACTCTCCTTTTTTGATCCTTTTTCTGTGCAGCTAATATAGTTGATAATCTTTATATTTCCTTGACTACTGAGGAAAGCCTTAATTAGATTCTTTTTTTACATGAAAACTGTCACCATTAGAATGAAAGTCTCAAAAACCTTCTGAGGTTAGTTTTAACAAGCAAGACGATAATCATTTTAACTTTGTGTTCAGCATCATTTCCTGTGCCTTATGTAACATTCTGTAAACACAGTCATGTTGTAGTAAATGTGGTCCTCACTGCTATTAATATGAAAGTTTTTCTTTTAAATCAATATAATATTCTTCAGTTAAACAAAGAAATAAGCTTCTGTAAAGCCAATATCTGCCACTCTACTGTTGAACATTTAACACATTGACTTCATTTAACACACTGACTGAACACTAGAAAAAGAATTTTTTCCTTGGGGCCAAGGCATTTTATTATGAAAATAGAATAGAAACTTCAAAAACAAAACAATGCTTTCTAATTGAATGAAAAATTTGTTATTTTTTATTGTTTGCGTGAGTTATGTGCATCTTAAAAAACAGTTCTCATGGCTCCTAAGGTAAAGAGACGTGTGAGTTACATATGCTTCACAAGGCCCCAGGCCTTGAGTTAAATACAACTAGCATGAGTTAAATACAACTCATATAGCAGTGAATGTGTTAAAGTACTGTGTGTGCTAGAAGATAAAATATTACAGTTTTATCAGTACTGAGGTCTTCATTTGGGCATGACAACTCCTAGAAATGGGGGATTGTGGTTTTAGATACCATGATCATCAAGTTCCATTTATTGAGTGTATGTAAAGGAGACCAAGAGAGCAGTCAATTTAAATAACAATGCTGTCATTCATTTGTAATTATTTAACACCCAGTTCAAAGGAAATGGTACTTTGCTTATGACATAACTTTGCATAATTCACCACAATGCTGATTCTGAAATGTAATATTGGCTTTGAAGTGTATTTATTTATGTACATCTTCTCTGCATTTTAGAAATGCTTTTCTGGCAGTTTCATTTAATTATGCAAGTTACTGCAAATGTTTTCATAACAGCAATTCACGGGCTTCATGGTGACACTTCAGCTGTGGCAGTTACAGAAGGTCCCGCTACGTCATCATCTCCGCCATGGTCTGTCGTGTCAGTGTTCACCGTTTGTTAGATTGGGTGGCCAAAATGAATCTTATCTTTCATACTTTATGTTTTTAGCCTCTACCCAGGCCATTTTACAATAAAAGTATCATCTGTTTTAATAAGCTAAGTGTTAATATGTGTGAAAAAAATGATTTCCTAAAAGCTTTGATGCCCTGCAGGGGTAGAAAAATTATCATCCATCCAGCTGGCTCTTTTACAAAATACTGAAACCATATTAGCAACTTCTGCTTCTGTTTGGTATTGCTCTGAATTTACAAGCATATGTTTCTTATCCAAGTTCTCTTTTACTTTTTTTGCTTATGTGGTGATTTTCAAAAATGTTGAACAGAAAAGGAAAGTTGAGTTGATGTTAGTTTTTACCATTATGCTTCTTCTTAGAATAGCTAAAGCACATATTCTATGGTGAAAAAAGTTAGAGCCATTCTGGAAATATACCATCATAGATAGATTTGTTGGGTGTGTGTATGTGTGTATACACTTTATACACTTTCTTAACATCTTCGATTTTTCTGTCTTGGTGACCTATTTGCTGCAAAGCTTAAAGCATTCTTGCCATCAGTTCATACCAAAGCTAGAATTTTTTTCTCCTCGAAGATATTCCCCACTTTCAACTCCTCTTCATTCACTGAACTTCTTTGGAAGACTCTCTGTGTGGCAACAATAATAAACAGAGCTCTCTAACGTGGATCCAAGGAGGCTGACATTAAAATAATGCACTACTTTAAATGTCCTGGTTATGTATACTTTCATTTTGATACCTAAGCACCTGACATGGTTGTGGGTCTGCTTCTAAAAGGAACCCTTGATGCAACCATTCTGTTTTGGTTGTGAAGGTTTTGTCATTATGCATATCCCTGGTATAATATTGGACTTGTTATTTGTAAAATACCTGTAATGTTCTTAAACATTCTAATATTTTTAAGTTGCACATTTTTATTACTTTAATTAAAAATAAAAATACACCCTAATACTTTTGATATGTCATCAAGAATAAAATGTATGAGGAATACTAAGAGCCCCTAATTAGCCAAGACTGAATTTGTCTCAATTACAGTTAGAAAATGAGAGGTTATCAAGAATGTGTTGAAAGGTAAAGTGGGATATGTATCTTAAGCAACAGATCATTACTGAGAGACATTATATAATTATTGGAAATCTACTTGGCTGGAGCTTAAAATAATATTGTTAGGTGTCAAGAAACAGTTGAAAATAATGACCCTATAAATACTGTTAGCAACCTTAGCCTATTACAGATAAAAGATTGAAGAGAACAATTTTATTCAGGCATCATGACAAACTTTTGCTATTCCAATTAGAGTACTTTCTATGTAAGTAAGTAAATGGATCCTGCTAACTTCAGTTGCAGGTGAAAATACACATACACACATGTGCACACACATTACAGTGAGTTAGCGCTTAGTGGTGTTAACCAACCCAGACAAGAGAATGAGCATTACAGGTTTTTGTCATGCAATACGAGGACTTAACTCTTTAAGAAATCCATTTAATTTTGGAAATACCACATACAACACTATTTTTATATAAAACAACTAGTCTGTAAAACAGGTATTCATCCTGCCCCCAACACTTTATAAAATGTGTTTTACTGACTTATCTTCTTTCTAGATGATTTCCTACCCATGGGAAAGGCTATCAAAAAGTTTGTGGAACTTTCTATGAGAGTGATAACTAATTACTTTTGGTATCCTTGACCTCTAAAACTTTTCGATCAGCTAAAAATCTTAATTATTCCTGATTTGTGTTTTGAAATACTCCAAAGTTCAGTAAGTAATTGTATCACTGACTAAGACCAATAAAATGGCCATTGCCCTGAATTTGTGCCTGTTGTTTTGGGACACCTAGGAATGAGAATGTTCCCTCCAAGAGTTGTCAGTATAGAGTATACACAGCCATATACCATGACAAAATCTGCTTCCAGAGCATCTTGCCCTGCTATTATTATTGTTCTAGTCTCCATGGATAAGTTATTTTGTTTCCTAACCTCAAAGTATTAAAGAGGTAAAGTATTAAAATCTGTATTATCTTAAAAGGCATATATGGGATAATCCCAGACTTTTACATCAAATCTTGAAATATGAAAATTAAAAGTACCCTTCAAAGTTCAGAAAAGCTAATATTAGAACAAATATAAAGGCATTCTATTTACCTCATAAGTGGTTAAACTTATGAAACACTTTTTGCTTGAAAGAGAAATAACTTCAAAAAAGTATAAATAAATGATGGCAGCTCCATGCTATTAACAGAGAGAACTGGGTTTATTTAAGATACATTTCTATTCTTTTCAAAATATCAAAATAATAGTAGCCATAGCTATCACCACTGCCATTCTCTGAGCACCTCCAAGTGCCAGGAAACTTGCGAGGTGCTTTACCTGTATCGTTTCCAGCCTTCTGGGCTAGATGCCATCATCCTTATTATTTCCTTATTTTTAGGTTAAGGAATCTCCCACTCAGAGATCAGTGACTTGTGACATGTTGAGTTAAACTTTGAAACTGTGTCTCTGCAGTTTCAAAATCCGTGCTCTTTTGACCTTACCTCAGACTTACAAAATTTGAAATGATAAAATAGTGTTACAGGAAGAACATTGGACTGCAAAGCCAGAAAGCCTAGTTCCAACCACAGTTTTGCCCGTAATTGTCTGGGTGAGCTTGAAAAATTTATGTCATCTTTTTAAGACTGAGTTTAGGTAGCATGTATAAACTGAAGATGTTGATCTAGAACTCCAGATGAGTTCTGAAACCCTTCCAGATTTTAAACTAATGATTTTTTTAGCTTTAATTTTAGCAATGATGACAGAAATTACTGGGTCAGTTACATTATGAGTCTTGCACCCTAGAGTAGCAATTCTTAAGTTCTTATGTGATAGCCAGGTGAAAGCAAAGTGTCCCACCTAGGAAGCAACAGCAAGTGCAGTAGATAAATTGAAAAGAGAGTCTATGTAAAAGAATAGCTATGCCACATGACATTCGTGTATGTACCACCACGATTCTGAAACCCAAATTTAGAAAAACAGTTGGAACTCATGTAGTGGGTATTCATGCTAAGTGTTTTCAGGTGACCAGGATACTGTAAACAGAGGCTATCTCTGCCTCTCAAGTGGTCATTGAGATACATGCTGAGTTTAAAGTCTACATGTTACATTCTTTTCCAATTAAAAAAAGTGGTTTATTGGGCCAGGGAAATCTGAAGAAGGTTCTCATGTAGTAGGAAAGACTATGGATGTGCCAAAAGAAGATTTTTCTGCTTCGTAGGCAGTCTCTCTTACCCCAATGTCCCTTTTTCTAACATATACAACATTGTCAGCAGTATTCTAAAAATTTTTATCAAATCAAAATAATCTTCAATTTGTCTAATCCCAATATAAAAATATGACAAATATTGTCTAATTCTTTAGCTCCATTTTAATGCCTACTATGATGTTTCTTCCCAGGCAGAGTGGGAAGGCTCCCTGTCTTAGGTTTCAGAACATGTAGTACAAGCCACAGGTGTCCGTGTTTTAGGAAAGAGGTGGTACATTCCCTGAGAGCTTTGGTTCTCTGTGTTGGAAAGTGGTGATGTTTCAGAAGTCAAAACTGACATCTACAGCAATCGTCACAACAGCACCCACTGCGGTTGCTTCTTAAAGTCCAAGACTTTACGATGTGTAGGCCATTGATGGTTGACTAAAGCACATCTTATTTTCCAAGATAGACACTAAACCTACCTAACTCTAAACCCTTGTACATTTATTG